TTAGGTTTGTCTTGGCAATGCAGGGTCTTTTTTGGTTCCATATGGACTTTAAAGCAGTTTTTTTCCAATTCTGTGAAGAAAGTCATTGGTAGCTTGATGGGGATGGCATTGAATCTATAAATTACTTTGGGCAGCATGGCCATTTTAACAATATTGATTCTTCCTATCCAGGAGCATATCCATTTTAATGTTATCTGAGCTTGTTGGATCTTTGTTTGGGTGGCTTTTATTAATTTGTATAATTCCCAAACATTATATCTTCATATTTATTCTTTTTATCTTCTCAAGTTTCAAATTTAGTTACACCATTTAAAATGCATTTTCCACAGCTCTGTTTCTTTTTCTCACTTTTAATTTCATTTCAGTTGTGTATTTTCCTTTGGTCTATCCATCAGTGTCCCTATTTCCTCAATAGTGTTGATTTGAGAGTCAATTCAAAAGCACTGTTCATCCTTTTCACTGTGTTTACATTTATGTCATATTCATGTCCTTCTTATCCTCAAGTCTCAGCTGATAGTAGTCATTTCTTTATGCATATTGTTCATCTTCTCCACTGTAACATTTAACAGAAAAATTATATCTATATTGAATCCCCAGTTTAATAATGCCAACACCTGGCTCATTTCTGAATCTGATTCTTTTGATTACTCTGTTTCTTGATAGAGTGTGGTTTCATTCTTGATTCTCTACAGTTTAATTATTATTGGATGACTGTCAGATTTCCTTTTTTTTTTTTTTTGATGGCAGAAATTATAGTATATATTATCTATTTCTGAAAATAGATGTTCATTTTTTTTTTCTAGTGTGGGATTTTTATTCAAGGAAACCTGATCTAGGTTGGGGATTTTTTTGTTGCTGCAGTTACTCTTAGTGAACAACTGGCTTTAAATTTCTCTACTGTTACCTGGTGGTTAGATTAGAGCAGATTTTCTTTTGGGTTTTCCTCAATGTTTTCTCCACGCTCAGTTTAGTATTCTCTTTACACCTATGATTACAAAATTGTCTCTCTGCTTGCTCCTCTCCCCTCCTCCAGCAGTCAATTGCATTTTTTCTTTGTTTCATTTATCTTAAATCATACTAATCTTTTCCTGGGCATGCTGTTCTGTTGTTATTGTTCAGCCTGTTTTGTCTTGTGGGTAAGACTTGCTCATTCATCTTCTTGCCCCTCTTCCCGTCAGTAGGTGGTTCTTAATTATCTAAGACTTTCTCCTGACTGCAATAAGTCTATACCTGTGTTCTGTAGGTGAAGAGGTTTGACACCCTTCCCACTGTGGCGTAAGGCCTGTTTTTTCATACGGGAGGCAGAGGAAAAGGGGCCTGTGTGAGGCTTCATGCTAACTCCACAGCAGTTACTGTTGTTCTCCCTGAGGCTTGAACCACAAAGGAAGATTTTGCTTATCTCTGACATTGAGCCTCACCTTTCTGGCATGTTCCTAGACATATTTTTAGAGAAAAACCTGAGTAGGTGTATGAACACCCCTTTGGTATGCAGCTAGGAAATGTCCCACTCTCATACTAATCCAAATAAACACTGTCTTCAGCGATTGGCTAGAAATTTTAGCTGAATTCTTCTAACTGGTTTTGTTGGTATCTGGCATAAATAACTGGTACATACCTTCTTGTGGTTGAAATAAACTAAAAGTTATCTGTTTCCACCTTGTCATTTAGTAAATGAGGGTTCTGAAGTTTACGATGATACATTGATGTAATTCTAAAATATAGGTCTAGTTATTGTTACCTAAGTCCAATATTCTTTCCATTTTTTCCATGTTAGACTCTGTACCTCACTGGATTATTGGGTAATCATCCTTATGCAATTATTCCATTCTTTTGCACATTAAATCAATCTAAATGACTTTTCCTCTCTTTATCTATCATCAGTTTGTTTTTTGATAAACATTGAGAGGGCAGAGGGGACGCTTTTCTTTGGTCCCCACAAAACCAATAGTGATAAAAGAGTATTGTCAGTTACTGGGAGTGAGGATTGGAGTGAAACATGAATGAACTTTTATTAACTATGTAGGATACATAAGTGCAACTTTTAACGTATTTCTTTAACGTTAAAAAAAAAAAACTAAATTAATTCCATAGTCATACTTTGTATAAATGAAATGAACTGGTCCTCAGAAATGTTTGGCAATTTGCCCTAGTTACTACATGGAGTGAATGAGTAAACCAAAATTCATACCTGCTTCAAGCATCTTGTACTTTTCCACAAGCCTAAAATGTCTGAGATAAGCAAAATAAAAATGTAGAATAGAAAGAAAAACAGATGAGATTTAGAATATTGCTCTCTGTCACTGGGCTACAAGAAAAATGATGATATAGGGATACACTTTTAGATACTGACAGGTTGAGGGTTTTTTTCATTCTCTTTTCACCCATTTGAAGTATAACAGTAAAAAGCAGGTTATCATCACTCTTTTTTAGCTTCATGATGTACTTTATAAAGCAAACTTACTGAAAAATGACTTCAACAAATAGGGAATCACTTACATTTTTATGTGTTAATTTCTTGTGGCTACAAAATAATTTTGATTGGCCATTTGGAGGCTTTGGAGACCTTTGTCTAGCACCAATTGAATTTTTAAGAAATTCAATTCTTCTTTCCTTCATACATAGTCATAGAAAAAGAAGAAACTACTTACAAAAGGGATTTAAAAAAAACATATCTGAGAATAATAGATTTCTTTTTCTTGTGATCTTTTGAATAAATGAGCTTTGCTACCCTCCTCCCTTTCATGTAAAAAAGGTGAAGTACTGTGTCGCTAATCATTTCATGGACTGTGACGACTGACATTATTTAATTATCTTATTAATCAGTGTAAATGTCACCTGTTAAAATATTCATACACTGAATCTATGTCATCCATTAGTCCAATTAATTAAATACTTGAAGTTATTTATTGATTCATAAAATAAGGGGATACAGTTCATATACTTCTATAAAATTTACTGAATTAAAATTTTGTATATGAGCTATATTTATCTTCCCTTCACTTTTTCACCTTCAAATCAGAATATTTCAAATTTTTTGATGTTTCTATTCCCTTTATTTTACCTTACTAGTCATCATTGTAAAAACTGCAATCAATTTTTACTTTTTTTTTTTTTTTGAGACAGAGTTTTGCTCTTGTTGCCCAGGCTAGAGTGCAATAGCACCATCCCGGCTCACTGCCACTTCCGCCACCTGGGTTCAAGTGATTCTCCTGCCTCAGCCTCCCGAGTAACTGGGATTACAGGCTCCCACCACCACGTCCAGCAAATTTTTGTATTTTTTCTTCTATTTTTAGTAGGGATTTCACCATGTTGGCCAGGCTGGTCTGGAGCTCCTGATCTCAGGTGATCCACCCGCCTCAGCCTCCCAAAGTGCCATATTACAGGCAGGAGACACCGCTTTTACTTTTGAAGTTAAACAAAATGGGAGCAGCTTAGAAAAAAGAAAAGAAAAGAAAAAAAGAAAAAGTCTTGCGTTTATAGGACTTACTTTTTAATGAAGAAAGATAAACTGTACATTATAAAGGGAGCAAACAAGTAGATTATACAGTATGTTAGAAATTAATAAGTGATATGGGAAAATAGAGATCAGGATGAGGAGGAAAATAATTTAAGTAATTTAAATGAAATGGTCAGGAAAGACCTCATTACGAAATAGGAAAGGGACCAAAATCTTCTTTAGCCTTCACAGATTTCCACAGAGTCGAACTCCTTTCAGGTTTCAAACACTCGTCAATATCTCCTGAATCTGTGCTGAACAGAATTTCTTCCATACTTTCAGGCTTTTAGAAAGGATATATAGAGGTTCAACTGTAGGATGCTTGTTTTAAGATTGGCCAAAATCCACAAGGCAAAGAATTGTAATCTCTTGCAAGTGAACTAATGAAAGAGGGAAAAATATGGAGAGAAAACACAAAGTAATATTTCAGGTAATAATTGGAATTCAAAGTTTTTTACTCACAAGAGCTAATAAATTTAAGAAGTAAACACAGTAATAGTTATCATTGACACAATTATTCATTAATGCGGAAGAAATCTGTAGGCTTTAGTATGTCATTTTATATAGTAAGTATTGGGCCAGCAATAAATTGTCAATTATTCTGATTTTATATACTTTTCAATTTCAAATGATCAAGAAGAAATAGTATACATCAATATCCTTTGAACCACTCCAAAGATTCAATTTTAAAGTTGTTGTCTCTGCAAACTACTGTCCTGCTCTAAATAATAGGCAGACGGTTTAAATAATTTGAACTTTAGCTTCTTTAAAATAGTTATAAACTACTTTCTCATATTTTATCTGACACTGAAAATAATGTAATTTACAAAGTCATAGTTTATTTTCAGAACACACCCTCTCACAGTAAAATTTTAAAACTTCTTTCAAATGTACAAAACAAATGCATTTTTATTTGTAAAATAATATATCAAATACAACATCATATAATTTCATCGAAACCCTTGTATTCAAATAAGCAAATGTCTTTACTATGAGAATTTGTTACCTATTTTCTCCTTAAATTCATCCAGGGAACAGTTTTATTTTTAAGAAATTAAGAGAGAAATAATGATGTATTAGCTCTATTTTTATATTGATAATATTTTCAATTATTTGTAAAACTTTGAATTGCAAGAATCCATATTATATCATTTTAATAGTTACATAGCTAAAACTAATAGAATTTTATATTTCCAGAATATGGATAAAATAGAAATTTTGACTGTTTTAAGTTTTTCAAGCAGTCCATCTTTACTAAAATAGAACAACTTCATTTAAAAATATTTATTTATATATCATCAGTATAATAAAACTTCTTCCGAAGTATGCTACAGCTATATTAACAAGTTAGACATCAATTGTATCTTTTATTTTTTGTGAGGAGGGACAGTGTGTGAGTACTAAAAATCTGCTTTAGACTTCTTGTTTTTCTATATTTCTTGCTGAGTATGCTAAGAATACAAGGCTGTGACCACTTTTCACCTCTGCCATTTTGTAGGGTGTGTGGGCAGCAACCTTGAGAGATGACGTATTACCGGACAAAGAGTACATTTGCTTACTGCTTGATATGAAAGGAGTAGATCCTCTAGGTGAGTGTTTTTCCTCAGCTGTGAAGGAAACCCATTGCAAATGCAATATCCACCCAGACCGCTTCACGTGGCCTTTGTGAGACTTGGGAACAAAGAGAGCTGACGGAAATATGTTCATGATGACTATAGATGCTTTGTGTTCTGTAATCAATAAAATCCCTTGACTCTAACTCAAGAGTCTCTTGTGTTCTGCCAGCATATGTAACAACTGCAGGTTAACATATTAAGTTGTAAGTAGGATCAAACTAAATCCCAGATCCAACAAAGAGCAATATAATAGATTGGTGCAAAAGTAATCTTCATTACAAAAATCCGCAATGACTTAAATAACTAAGTTATTAGAAAAAATTAGATAGAAAACATAGTCCCTTTCCAAAATTCATTCATTCATATAACACATATATTCACAAATACAAATACACTCAGGAGATGCCAGAATTCTGTCTAACATAAAAGTGTCTCTTTAATTTAGAATTCCATAAAGTGTTTTATTTTGCAGATGCATTATATCATGTTTTTATATAAAAAGAATAAGTCACAGTTTTAGAAATCTGTTTTCTTGTATAAAATAGCCTTCAAAAAATTCAGTAATTCCACAGCATCTGAGAAATCATTCTGTAGAAAAAAAGCAATGCTTGGCACTATGAACTTATGATAATTTACATGGTCAATCTAATGTAAATTCTTAGTCTATATATATATATATTTTTAAATGACAGTGTCTTACGTCCTAGGCAGAAAAAAGAAAATGAAGTTCAGTTCTTTGTTTCAAAATAATTACAATGAATAGTTGTCAAAAGAAATAAAAATAATCACTTTGGTCTGCTGTTTGATACATCTGAGATAAGGTAGACCTTTAGGTAAAAAAAAGGAAAATTAATTTCATTTTTACAAAAGGTATCTTAAAACACTTAATGTTTTTCTTAATCCTTTATTACATTCTTTCTGAGATGCACTGAGCTGTTTCAAATGGAAGACAGCACACACAGACAGTTTGCTTAAATTCCAGCTTTTTCATGCAGCTGAATTGATTTTGGTTTTTATAACAAGAACCCATAATGCTAGCCACCATAGACTGGCTTTTATGTTTTTACAGTTACTATGGTATTCTCATTTTCTGTAATAATGACAAATATGGCAAAACCCACTTTTAGCACTTTATGGGACAGAGGGAACTGTTACAAAAATAGGAAAGAATAAAAAGAAATAAGAATATTGCCTAACAACTTCAGTAGCCTGGTAATAATAACATGTGTTAAAACTACAACTCATATTTTTAATAAGCAAAAGTATAAACTCTCAAATTGTAAAACTACCACAAGAGTAAGCAGGCATCATCTGGCAGGGATATTTATACTTTTATGCCCTGATACTGCAGCTAGAGGATAACTGAGTAACAAAAGTCAACAATAGAAGAAAATGCTCTTGCTCAATAGAGTAAATAATTGAGTAACAATTGAGTAACGAAGTTAACTATAGAAGAAAATACTCTTGCTCAAAAAAAATAATCAGCTGGACAACATTCAGGCAGAAAATGTTCATACTGACCATATAAATTGCAAGAGGCCTATGAAATCATACTGCACCTGTCATTTAGAACTTATCACTTAGCATGTTTTACTGGAATTTTCTCTGCTAAATGATAGAGGCAGAAATAAATTCTGAGTACACAGCTAGGTCATTAACAGTAAGTAGCAAAAGCAGAAATGATAAGTTGATATAGAACTTAGATGAGAACCAGAAGCATTTAAAATAAATCAGATAGCCTGGAATTCCAGTTATAATGAACAGTTTATATGTTGACATTTTAATACCAGAGACAAAAATGCCCAATAACCAAATCACTTCTGTTATTTCCATCAAAGTATGAAAGAGTATGTATGGGGTCTGAATGTTTACATAAGTAACTGGTGAGAAGTGGGACCAGGAGAGAAATGGTAGGGCTGGTAGTAAATAGTGAGTGAGAAAAAAAGAAGGGCTATGGTAATAATGACCCAACCCCCTTTTGGAATGCCATGTTAGATTCTTAACCAGCTAATATTTTCTTAAACTCATGACAAGCTCTTCATATCTTTGGTGAATTTCTGAAGGCATCGGAAAGCAGAGGTAACTTTCTAGAGTGACTTTATATTTGAGACGAATTATATTTGTTACAATTCAAGCGTATCTCAAGATATACCTAGAGCAATATAAATGCAATTAATAAAGTATGTATAATACATATACAAATTATAAGTATTTATGACTACACTTGCCAGCTAAATAATTTCTGCAACTGTTTCGTCATTTAGAATACACTGTGGTGTGGGTTGCTCTTACTACAGTTGTAAATTTAAAAATATATTGTTTTAGGCTGGGCACAGTGGCTCACGCCTGTAATCCCAGCACTTTGGGAGGCTGAGGCAGACGGATCATGAGGTCAGGAGATTGAGACCATCCTGGCAAACATGGTGAAACCCCATCTCTACTAAAAATACAAAAAAATTAGCTGGGCGTGGTGGTGGCTGCCTGTAGTCCCAGCTACTCAGGAGGCTGAGGCAGGAGAATAGCTTGAACCCAGGAGGCAGAATTTGCAGTGAGCCAAGATCACGCCACTGCACTCCAGCCTGGACAACAGAGCGAGACTCCATCTCAAAAAAAAAAAAAAAATTGCTTTGGTGTATGTTAAAAATACATATAGACTCACTGACTCTGTAATAACACTGTTGCTGTTACATAGAAGGTTCAATAAGTATTTGTAAAATGAATGTTGAGAAATGGATCTGCATAGAATGATAAAATGTATGGAGAACTATTGTGAGAGAGCATTTGCAGAACTAGAAAATAAAGACCTAGTTGCGGGACACACAAGTCCATGTGGTTATCAATACCTTAGTATGGAAAGCATATGAAAATTCTCCAAGGAGCTTTTTGCTTTATGTGATAGTAACTCATTTTATTTCCACATCTTAGATGTTTTTTAACAAATTGTGCTAGCTTCCATTGCTTCATTCATTTTGTACTAAGTTCTTTTCACTGAAGCGTCATTGACTTGTTAATAGAACTCTTACTGGAATTTTAGAAATTAACTTTGTTGAAGTTTGGTAAAATTTCAGATGGACAGTATAGTGTTAGTAGTTAACTTAAAAACATCAGTTTTGAAGCTACAGTGTCTGGATTCAAATGCCTTTCTGTTTTTTTCCTAAGTATATGAATATGCATTTTAAAATAGCAGCTACCATGTAGGATTATATTGAGGATTATATAAGTTAATAAATGCAAACATTTGGCAGATTCTAAAAAATCAGCAAAGGTAAAAGTTACTTATAATTGCCATTATTTAATAATGTTATAAGAGGGTATATTGACTTAAGTTCAGTACAAAATATTTTCATACCTAACATTTGTTGAGCAATAGGTATTAAGCATATGCTTTAATAGTTGCTTTCCATTTAGTTAATCTCAGCATATTCATTATATAATAAAAAAAGAAACCAAATTACTATGAACTTAATTGTGCAGCCAAAATCTAGGAACTTCTCATGAATTTTATAATTCTACAGTAATTGAAGCCCTCCAATATTGCAGAGGAAAGAATCTTTGATATTATCAAATAGAGGTAGCTGAGCACTTGAGCTCTCCTAAGGTCCGTGATAACATTCTAACCATGTCAACAGTTTTCCAAATTGCCTGACCAGACATCATATGGCTACCAATGTTCTACTTGAATAAACAAACTAATACATTGAGTCTTGGGTAATGGCAGCTTTCTAATAATTGTAAATTCCAATATTTAACAATAAACACAACTTTTGAATAAGATCCACAGCTCTCCACTCATGGCCATGACAATTGTCCCTAAAATTGCACAGCATTATATTTTCCCTTTCAACTTACCTAAGCAGCTAGTTACTTGCTGAGTTTCCAAGCATTATCCCTCCAATAATTTTTCCTTGTTTGGGACTCTTCAGTCTTCAAATATTGACTCACAAACTTATGAAGTTGAACATCAGCACTTGTCATAGACTGAAGAAATACCTCCCAAAAATATCCATTTCCTAATCCTTAGAACATTTGACTGGTACCTTATATGGTAAAGGGGACTTTGCAGATAAGATGAAATTAATGATTTTGAAATGGAGATATTGCCTGAGTGGGCCTGAGGTAATCATCATGGTCCTTATAAGAAATAGGTTGAATATCAGAAAGAAGAAAAGATACTGTGATAATAAACAGATTTGAGTCATATAACCAGAAGCCAAGGATTGCTGGTAGCCTCAAGAATCTGTAAGAAGCAAGGAACTCTTCATGATAAAATCTTAATTCTAACTCCATGAGATACACACTGGACAATTGATCTACAGAACAGTAAGAGAGTAAGTTTGTGTGTTGTAAACCACTAAATTTGTAGTAATTTTTCATGCAAGCAATTGAAAACAAATACAATATTTTTCTTTATATATATTTGAAGAGAGCAAATGGAGTAAATTTAAGAAGGAAAATCAAGTGCCTCAAATGTTTGTGAGGTTAAACTCGTGTTTCTAACCTATGAACTTTAGGAAGAGCTTCCAAATGTAAATTTCAGTTCTCAAAGAAGGCTTTGTCTAAAACGTAAGTGATTTTCATAATTTTTCACATTCTGTGGTCCTGTAGTCCTACATTCTATAACGCATTATGAAGATGCACTAGAATAAAATCTTTTTATCTTTGAATATCTTTACAGAGGCAATTATAGTTGCTAATATAGAATCACATAATTATGAATGACTATCAAAATCTTTCAAATTGACATAGTAGGTACTGTAGTAGCTCAATATCCTGCAGACATTTTGTACAGAAGAGATTTCTGCAGGGAGTAAAGGCAGTATTGCTATGTGTATGCTGTAAATACCTTAAAAACCACAATGTACTCAGCTTATGTAAGGATCTTTTTAAATTTCAGGATTAACTTCCCATCTGAAACAGAAACATTTATCAAACATGAAAAGTGAGTATAAATTGTGTGAAGCATCATGCAAAATTTAGGAATTGAGCATGTATGTGTGCAGGTATAATCTTTTAGAAAAATAAGTATTTGTAATATTTTGGTAAATAATATTAAATACTACCAAATAAATTAATTGTCTCAGTACATAGAATATGGGGCTTAACACGACATTAAAGTATGGTTCAAACATTTTCTTGTTTCTTTATAACTTTTAGAGAGGAAGAATCTTTCCAACACAGAACTTGTTAATAATGTAGTTTCAGATGTGAAACTGAATAGAGAATCAACCTTTTTACCTTAGAAGGAACTACTACTGCAAGATATGTCAGTTTTAAGTTGAAACATAAAATATGTCATGGTTTGGGTCATCTTAATAGTATTAACATTTATTGTGGAATAAAAGTACTAAGCATAGTTGTACATATTTGTTCCAGTCATGCATCTTTATCTACCTTTACATTAAAATAGGTTTTTCTTCCTCATTTCCCCTAAAGTGTAATTTTATGGTAAGCAGTATCATAAATCAAATGAAGGTTAGATTCTAAGTGAATAAGGAATCATTACTAAGATGGGTTAGAAGAAGGAAACCATAGGTGAATGTCTGACTAATCTCTCAAAAGACCTAGGGTCTAGGCTTTGATTCGTTACTTTAGCACTATGTCATCTTGGGTTAATCAAGTTTGTTGTACAGATGCTACTGTCTCTACTCATAAGTATATTTAATAATAACTACATTAGGTCAAAAGATACATCAACTGATGTATATTAAAAGATATTTTAACAGTTCACTTACTGTATCAAATTTATTCAAAGTTAAATAAATCCATTTGAAATCCCCATCAAAAGAATGTTCATTCTGAGCCATATTATAAACCATGATTATTTGTATTCCTTCACTTCTCACCATATATATTTTCCTATAGTACTTCTTTCTTCTCAGTGGTAGCACTGTAGGATTTACTGATTAGATCAGGCATTGAATGTGTCAAATATTACAAATGTAAATAAAAATGTGCTCATGTAGCAATTAGTTACATATGTGTAACACATTGTTTCAAATTTGCCAGCTTAATACATCCATTTATTATCTCACAGTTTCTATAAGTCAGAAGTATAGAGGCATAGTTTAGCTGTGTTGCCTTCTCTGATCCTACTGTAGTCAAGGTGTCAGTTGGAGCTGCAGTTCTCATCTGAGGCTCAAAGCACTCTGTGGATGTTGGCAGAATTTATTTTCTGATGTTACAAAACCAAGGTTCTCAGCTCATGAAGTCATCTCACTCTATATGCAGTTCACAAACGGTTGTTTGCTTTCCTCAAGGTCACTAGTCTAATGTCTCTTATGCTTAGTCTTCATTTAAAAGACTTCACCTGGTTATGGGAGGCACACCAAGAATATTTGATTAACTTAATGTCAACTGATTAGTGCCTTTAATTACATCTGAAAAATGCCTTTACCTTTGCCACGTAATCTAATCATGAAAATAATATTCATCATATTACCAGATCCCACCTACACTCAAGGATATTGCATTATACAGTGAAGGTACACCAGCCATGTATACATGGCTCTTGGGAGCTGTCTTAGAATCCTGGCTACCACAGTTATGCAAATGCAATAAATTTCAAGTAAAAATTTCTAACTTTTCTCTGCAACCACTTCCCAAATCACTTCCATTTCCAACAATATTGTCTTTTGGAACCCACAATCCCAATATAGAAATTCTGGAGTTGCAACTGCTATCACCCTGATGATAACTTTCCTCCAACAAGTCAGGGTTTCTCAACCTTCTTTTTTCATTATCACCACCCTGTGGAGTATTTTTAGTCATTTATTTTCCCTAATCTCTCCTATATAAAATGTTAATACTATAATACATAGTTAAGTACAGAATGTACAGGGTTCTCCCTGAAGTAAGAAAATATAGATAAACCTCCATATCACCATATAGAAAACTTTAATATTATATATGTACATGTATATCTATAAATAGGCATATCTGCACTTTATACATAAAAAGAGTAAACTTTTTTTTCTATTTACGAACTAATTTGTACTCCTGTCATCTTTTTTTTATTTCTTATTTTTTGCAGGTTTATAGAAGGTGTATACATTTATGACATGAGATATTTTGATACAAGCATACAATGTGTAATAATTATGTTAAGTGAAATGGAGTATGTATCACCTGAAGAATTTATCCTTTCTTTGTTAAAAAGAATCCAAATATAATATTTTAGCTATTTTAAAATGTTCTATAAATTACTGTTGCCTATACCGGTCCTGCTATGCTATCAACTACTAGATCTTATTCATTCTATGTAAGTATATTTTTGTACTCATTAACCATCTCCCCTTACCACCCCCCCACTACCATTCCAAGGAACTGGTAATCAATGTTTTACACCCTATCTCCATGAGTCTCATTGTTTTAATTGTCAGCTTTCATAAGTAAGTGAGAACATGCAAAGTTTGTCTTTCTCTGACTGGTTTATTTCACTTAATGTCCTCTAGTTCCATCTATATTATTGCAAATGACAGGACCTCATTGTTTTTTAGGGCTGAATAGCACTTCATTTTGTATATTGTGAATAGTGCTGCGATAAATATGAGAGTGCAGACAGATGTATTTTCTATGTACTGATTTTCTTTATTTTAGATGTGTAGCTAGCAGCAGGCCTGCCTGATCATATGGTGGCTCTAATTTTAGTCTCTCGAGGAAATCTCCAAACTGTTCCCTATAGTGATTGCACTGATTTACATTCCCACTAACAGTGTATGAGGGTTCCCTTTTCTTCAGCCCTCGGTAGCATGTTAATATCTTTTAGATACAAGCTATCTTAACTGGGGTAAGGTTATATGTGATGAGAGTTTTGATTTACTTGTGTCTGATGATCATTGATATCGAGCACCTTTTCATATACCTATTTACTATATCTACATCTTCTGAGAAATGTCCACTTAGATATGCCCATTCTTTAGTAGGATTATTATTTTTTTTTCTGAAGAGTTGTTTGAGCTTCTCATATATACTGGTCATTAATTCTTTGTCAGATGAATAGCTTGCAAATATTTCCTCTCATCCTGTGGGTTTTCACTTCATTTTGTTGAAGATTTCTTTATTGTGGAGAAGCGTTTTAACTTGATGTGATCCCATGTATCTATTTCTGTTTTGGTTTCCTGTACTTGTTCTCAACAAATTGCTAAAGAAATCTTGACCCAGTCAGATTTCTTGGAGAGTTTCCCCAGTGGTTTTTCTTTTGGTAGTTTCCTAGTTTGAGGTCTTAGATTTGTTGTTTGTCTATTTGGATTTGATTTTGTATATGGTAAGAGAGAGAAGTGTAGTTTCATTCTTCTGCATATTTGATATCTAGTTTTGCCAGCACCATTTACTGAATAAACTGTCCTTTCTTCAATGTATGGTCTTGGCATCTTTGTGGAAAATAAGTTCTCTGTAGATTAATGGATTTATTTCTGGGTTCTCCACTATTTTCTATTAGGCTGTGTGTCTGTTTTTATACCAGTCGGATAATGGCTTGATTACTATAGCTTTGTGGAATAATTCTAAGTCAGGCAATGTGATTTTTTTCTAGTTTTGTTCTTTTTGCTCAGAATAGCTTTGCCTATTCTGCATTTTTTTGTGGTTTCATATAAAGTTGAAAATTTTTTTCTCTATTTCATCAATGTTTTATAGTTTTTATTACAGAGATCTTTAATACCTTCTGTATCTTAATTCCTAGGTATGTTAATTTATTTGTAACTATTGAAAATGGGATAATTTTATTGATTTTTTTCTCAGAATCTTAGCTGTTGGTATATTGAAATGTAACTAGTTTTTGAATATTAACTTTGTATCTTCCAACTTTACTGAATTTGTATATCAGTTCCAATAGTTTTTAGTGGAGTCTTCAGGTTTCTTCCAAATACAAAATCATATCATCCACAAACAGGAAAATTTGACTTCTTCCTTTCCAATTTGGATAACCTTCATTTCTTTTCCTTTGGTGATTGCTCTAGCTAGGAGTTCTGTGCTATGTTGAATAACAGTGGTGAAAGTAGACATCCTTGTTGTGTTTCAGATCTTAAATAAAAGACTTTCAGTTTTCCCTATTGATTATGATAGTAAATGTTAGTCGGTCTTATATAACTTTTATTGCATTGAGGTGTGTTCCTTCTATATCAGTTTTTTTTTTTTTTTTTTTTTTTAGAGATTTTATTATTAAGTCATGTTGAATTGTATCAAAATCTCAACATCAATGGAAATGATCATATGGATTTTGTCTTTCATTCTGTGGATATGATTTATCACATGGAATGATTTGCTTATGTTGAACCACCTTTGCCTCTCTGGAATAAAGATAAAATTTACTTGGTCATGATGAATACTTATTAATGTGTTGTTGAATACCATTGGCTACTATTTTGTTGAGAATTTTGCATCAATTTTTATAGAAATATTTGTCTGCAATTTTCTTGTTTTGACATGTCTTTTTCTGGTTTTGGTATCAGGGTAATACTGGCCTCATAAAATGAGTTTGGAAGTATTCCCCCATCCTCTATTTTTTGGAATAGTTTGAACAGAATTAGTAACAGTGCTTTTTTAAATATTTGATTAAATTCAGCAGTGCAACCATTGGCTCCTGGGCTTTTTTTGGTGAGACATTTTATTACAGGTTTAATCTTGCTACTTGTCATTGGTCTCTTCAGGGTATGAATTTTTTTCATGGTTTAATCTTGTAGGTTGTGTATTTCTAAGAATTAATCAATTTTTTCTACTTTGTCCAATGAATTGGCAAATAGTTTCTCACATATACTCTAATGATCCTTTGCATTTGTATGTTATTGGTTGTGATCTCTACTTTATCATCTTTGATCTTATTTATTTGAGTCTTCTCTCTTTTTTCTTTTCTTAGTGTGGCTAAGTGTTTGTCAAATTTGTTTATCTTTTCAATAACCCAATGGTATTATTCTGTTTTCACACTGCTATAAAGATACTATCTGAGACTGGGTGATTTATAAAGGAAAGAGGTTTAATTGACTTACAGTTCCACATGGCTGGGGAGGCCTCAGCAAAGTTACAGTTGTAATAGAAAGTGAATGGAAGCAAGTACTTTCTTCACAAGGTGGCAGGAGAAAGAGTGAGCATAGGAGGAAGAACCCCTTATAAAGCCATCAAATCTTGTGAGAACTCACTGGTTATCAGGAGAACAACATGGAGGAAGCACATGCTAAGCCCACTAAACTGTTCCACAACCCAAACACATCCCACCAGGTCCCTCCCTTGATACAAGAGAATTACAATTCAAGATGAGATTTGGGTGGGAACACAGAGCCAAACCATATCATTCTGTTCCTAGTGTCTCCCAAATATCATGCCCTTCGTATATTTAAAAACCAATTATGCATTCCCAAAAATCTTAACTCATTCCAGCATTAACCAAAAGTCCAAGTCCAAAATCACATCTGTAAAAAGGCAAGTCCCTTCTGCCTAGGAGTCTGTAATATCAAAAACAAATCAGTTCTTTTCAAGATGCTAACATTTGGGTACAAGCATTGGGTAAATACACCCATTCCAAGTAGGAAAAATTGGCTGAACAAAGATGCTACAGGCACCATACAAGTCCAAAACCCAGCAGGGCAGCCAGTAAATCTTAAAGCTCCAACATGATCTCCTTTTATCCAATATCTTACAACCAGGGCATGCTGATCCAAGGCATGAGCTCTCAAGGTGTGGGGAAGCTCCTCCATGGGCTGCTGGTGAGTAGCTGTGGCTTTTCCAGGTGCATGGTACAAGTTGTTGGTGGATATACCATTCTGGGGTCTGGAGGATGGTGACCTTCTTCTCACAGCTCCACTAGGCAGTGCCACAGTGGAGACTCTGTGTGGTATTTCCAACCCCACATTTCCCTTCGGCTTTGCCCTAGCAGACATTCTCCATGAGGGCTCCACCCCTGCAGTTTACTTCTGCCTAGACATCCAGGCATTTCTACACATTCTCTGAAATCTAGGTGGAGGTTCCCAAACCTCAGTTTTTTATTTCTGTACACACAGTCCCAACACCACATGTAAGCCACTAAGGCTTGGGGCTTGTAATTTCTGAAGCAATGGCCTGAGCTGTACCTTGGCCCCTTTTAGCCATGACTGGAGCTGAAGCAACTGGGACACAGGGCACCAAGTCCCAAGGCTGCACACAGCAGGGCCCTGGATCTAGGGCCCTGGATCTAGCCAATGAAACCATTATTTCCTCAAAGGCCTCTGGGCCTGTGATGGAAGGGGCTGCCTCCAAGATCTCTTGCCATGCCAACTAACATACAGCTCCTCCTTACTTATGTAAATATGTTCAGTCAGCTTGAATTTCTCCCTAAAATATGGATTTATCTTTTCTATTGCATGGTCAAGCTGCAAATTATCCAAACTTTTATGCTTTACTTCCCTCCTAAACATAAGTTCCAATTTCACATTATGTCTCTCAAGTTCAAAGTTCCATTAATCTCTAAGGCAGGGACAAAATGCAGCCAGACTTTTTGGTAAAGGTAAAGCATAGCAAGAGTGACCTTTGCTCCAGTCCCCAATAACTTTCTTATCTCTATCTGAGACCAACTCAGCCTGGACTTCATTGTCCATATCACTATCTGCATTTTGGTCAAAAGCATTCAACAAGTTTCCAGGAAGTTCCAAACTTTCCCACATCTTTCTGTCTTCTTCTGAGCCCTCCAAACTGTTTTGATGTCTGCTTGTTACCCAATTCTAAGGTTGCTTCCACATTTTCTGGTTATCTTTATAGCAGTGCCCCACTCTTCATGGTATCAATTTACTGTATTAGTTCATTTTCACACTACTATCAAGATACTACATGAGAACGGGTAATTTATAAAGGAAAGTAGTTTAATTGACTCACAGTTCCACATGACTGGGAAAACTTCAGGAAACTTACAATCATGGCAGAAGTCAAAGGGGAAGCAAGCACTTTCTTTGCAAGGCAGCAAAAGAGAGAACAAGTGAAGTGGGAAGAGTCCTTTATAAAACCATTTGATCTCATGAGAACTCACTCACTATCAAAAGAAAAGCATGGAGAAAACTGCCCCTATGATCCAATCACCTCTCACCAGGTTCATTCCTTGACACATGGGGATTATATTTTGAGAAGAGATTTGAGTGTGGGCCCAGAGCCAAACCATATCACCAACTTTTTGTTTTGTTGATCTTTTTCATTATTTTTTTTTGTTTTAATTTTATTTATTTGTTCTCAGATCTTTACTATTTCTTTGCTTCTACTATTTTGGGTATTGTTTGCACTTGCTTTTCTAGTCCTTTAAGATGTATCATTAGGTTGTTTATTCGAAGTTTTTCTACTTTTCTTGAGGTAGGCAATCATAACTATAAACTTTTCTGTTAGTACTGATTTTGCTATATCTCATAAGTTTTTATATGTTATGTTTTCATTATTATTAGTTTCTT